GATTAACAAAGCATCGATTTGAGAAAATAACATGCCTCGATCGATTTACAGACGTTAAAGCGAGAACACAAGAGAGGAAGAGGAAAATCTAGAAGAATCGTTCAAGGAGGAATACGAAACAGCTTCAGTATTTCATAAACCCTTGAGTAACTACTATACATAAGCATTAAGCGGGCCTGCTTAGTGCTTATGGACCAGCACTGATAATTAGAATTAGCATCGATCAATGAAATTGATATTTTACAACTAAAACAGATATATCTCGGATATTTTAATAGAATTTTTCCCAAATAAAAAGAATACAATATGCTACTATTGTTTTAGAAAATGTTGAAAATAGAAGCAAAAACGAAAACTCATGAAATCTATTGAACCAATCATAAACGATAAGAGAAATATTCAAAACTTTGTAAAAAATACAAAAAATGGCTAAAAAAAATTCCGAGTCACACTCTCTCGTCTTCTCATTTCTTCGTCTTCTTATCTCCTTCAACTCCACATGGCTTCCACCGCCTTAACTCCGGCCATTTCAGTCCTTAAGTCAACCGGCGGAGTCGCCACTCGCGCACGCGCCACCGCTTCCCTTTTACCCATTTCCTCTAAATCAATCTCCGTGCGTCCTCTCGGCTTCTCCGCCGTTCTCGGCTCTCGTTTCTCTCTCCACGTCGCTTCCAAAGTTGGATCGGTGAGAGGGAAAGGAAGCAGGGGAGTGATTTCCATGGCGAAGAAGAGCGTCGGAGATTTGACATCAGCTGATTTGAAAGGGAAGAAGGTTTTCGTCAGAGCTGATCTCAATGTACCTCTCGATGATAACCAGAATATCACCGACGATACTAGAATCCGTGCCGCGATTCCGACCATCAAGTATTTGATCGACAATGGTGCTAAAGTCATCCTCTCTACTCATCTGGTAATTATTCCCAAAATCCCACAACATTTGAAGTTCCTCAATCGCATGAACTAAATCAGATGCATTTGATCTTTTGCAGGGTAGGCCAAAAGGAGTCACACCAAAGTTCAGTTTAGCTCCTCTTGTTCCTAGGTTGTCTGTGCTTCTTGGTATTGAGGTAAAAGATCTATGTTTTGTCTCACTAAAGTCATCTTCTTGTGTGAATCAATCGAGCTTTTTTGATGGGTGAGTTTTGCAGGTCACTAAAGCTGATGACTGTATCGGTCCGCAAGTGGAGAGCTTGGTGGCTTCTCTTCCTGAAGGTGGAGTTTTGCTTCTTGAGAACGTCAGGTTTTACAAGGAAGAAGAGAAGAACGATCCTGAGTTTGCTAAGAAGCTTGCTTCACTAGCTGACCTCTATGTCAATGACGCTTTTGGAACTGCTCACAGAGCTCATGCTTCTACCGAGGGAGTCACAAAGTTCTTGAAGCCTTCAGTTGCTGGTTTCCTTCTGCAAAAGGTGATCTTTTGATAAGAGATTCTTACTTTCCCTTGATTGTAGATTTAGCATACAAAATGGTACCATGAAAGTTTTGTTTGCTTCTCTGACATCTACAGGAGCTGGATTACCTTGTGGGTGCTGTTTCAAACCCAAAGAGACCATTTGCAGCCATAGTGGGTGGTTCTAAGGTCTCATCAAAGATTGGTGTTATTGAATCGCTTCTTGAGAAGTGTGATATCCTTCTTCTTGGTGGTGGAATGATCTTTACGTTCTACAAGGCTCAAGGTCTTTCTGTTGGCTCGTCCCTTGTTGAAGAAGACAAACTTGAATTGGCTACAGAACTCCTTGCCAAAGCTAAGGCTAAAGGAGTCTCTCTTTTGTTGCCAACCGATGTTGTGGTTGCTGACAAGTTCGCTCCTGATGCCAACAGCAAGGTCCGTCTCTCTCAAACTCACCATTGCTTAAAGCTTTGCATTCTAAAATTTTGAGTGTTGGAAGTGAGTGCAAAAACGAGAAATGGGTGTTGTAAGTTGTAAGTCAATGTGATTGTTCTTGCTTAATGATCCTAAAGGAGAAGATGAAAGACGCAGAACTGTTATATAAAAAATGATCTTGATAGAGCTAGTGTTCTGAGTTAAAGTACGTAATGCGGATGTTTGTGCTTTGTAGATTGTGCCTGCTTCAGGCATTGAGGACGGGTGGATGGGATTGGATATCGGTCCAGACTCTATAAAAACTTTCAATGAAGCTTTGGACACAACACAGACCGTCATTTGGAATGGACCTATGGGAGTTTTCGAGATTGAGAAGTTTGCAGCTGGAACAGAGGTAAGAAAATGATTCCTCATAGAGTAAACATGTGGTAGATGAATATTAGAGATTTAAGTTTGGGATTATGATTGTTGCAGGCGGTTGCGAATAAACTAGCAGAGCTAAGTGAAAAAGGAGTGACAACGATAATAGGAGGAGGAGACTCAGTGGCTGCAGTGGAGAAAGTAGGAGTTGCAGGAGTCATGAGTCACATCTCCACCGGTGGTGGAGCGAGCTTGGAACTTTTGGAAGGCAAAGTGCTTCCCGGTGTGATTGCCCTTGATGAAGCCATCCCAGTCACTGTTTAAAAACTCAACCATTAATGAGGCAAACCATGTATACTTGCATGTTCTTTCCCTGTATATCTTACCTATTCAACTTGATTTTTGATTCACAACTTTCCGGTTATCTGAGTCAATCCCGGGAAAAGAAACTCATGTATTAGAACTTCGAAAAAAACCAAACATAAAGGTAAAGAACACATTGACCTGACACTAAAACAGAAACGGGAGCCTGTTCCATAGGATTTGGGATTTGGATGTCTTTTTAACATCATCGAACCTGCTAATCACCGGGAAGTATGTAGATGAAGAGGAGTAGTGTTCGCTAAGTGAATACTCTTTCTCCTTGAATCTCTTGAGCTCTTCTTTAAGATCACTATTGAGAAGATGCTCACAATAAGATTTATTGTCTTCAAAAGCAATGTACATCTTCCAAAACATGTTTCTATCCCTCTCTTTTCCCATATCCATTTCTTCCATCATCTTCCGCAGAATCAAAGCTCCCTTCTTCCTAAAGTGCCCCGTGACGAAATCTTCGAACCCCTTAAGCGGCCGTTTCAGCATATCTAGCATCTGATGACACGACTGATTTGTGTTCAGCAACACAAGTTCTTGAATATGCAAGAACACATCTACTATGTTGTAACAAAACTTCGGTCTCAATGGCTTTACGGTTCCGGGAGTACTCAAAGGAAGGCCATATGGATGGTAAAAGACACTCGGTGCTTGCATCGGATATTCTGTAGGGAACTTAACGTCGAAGAAGAACAAGCTGTGACTAATACTATCACCTTTTGTCACGGTTACAACAACTCTCATTAGCTCTTTTCGTTCTTTATAAGTTCTCGAGAAGAAGCTAACTCCTTGTTTCTCCATTGAAGCTAATTTTCTCTCTAGAATTCTCCATTCTTTCTCTATAGTTTCGCCTGCGCGGACACAACACCAAGGGGAGTAACAACAACGATTGTTGTAGAAGTGATGGTCTCTTGGAGCATCTCCATCAACAACTTCAAACTTGTTGAATCTTTTGTAGTTTAAATCAACTTTATCTCCCAACTCCATGATCTCTTTCTCGAAAATGTCAATTATGAAGTAATTGGTTCGATCCAAGTGAATGATGTCACCAACCTTTTCTTCCGATACAGATTTAGACTCCGGTGTACGTTTTTCGGGTACAGCTTCTTCTTTATCTCCCGGACTAGCCCAAACTTTCTCCGCACGTCTCCTAAACTGATGAGCAGAATTTGACCTAAATTGCTCCCCAAGTAATAATCTAGGTTTACTACATGCACGATCATCATCAGAATCACTACTACTGTTTACATCAATACCTTTCGTCATGACTTTGTTGTATCGTCTCTCGCAGGAACTAGTAGGGCCATGACTACTCATGATTTTGCTTCTCTTTTGTGTTCTTCGGTCGTTTTTTTTTTTAATGTTATTTATACTCAAAGCTTTAATTAAGTCATATAAGATTAAGAAAAAATGTAATCTCTAATCATTTAAAAGATAAGTAAGAATATAGATTCTAAGATTCTATACAAAATTTAACAGATTTGTATATCTTATAATATAAGTTTTCCATTATTCTTTTTAATTGGATCTAACATGTTATGGCAAAGAAGTAGTTATCTA